TGCCAGCACTGGTTTCAGAAGAAGAATATCTTTCCTGTTCCAGCCAGTGCCTGTAAAATATCTAAGACAAATATTTCAGCTACATTTCAAAGTCATATCTTCAGCCAGAGCTATTGGGGCCAATTTGCTGGCATCTTACTGCTCTCTTAGAACCAGGAACCCAGTATCTAGGCAGAAAAAAATACCAGCACAATACACCTCTGAAATAGCCTGGCATGCCAAAACAGAAGCATGGACCTTTTATACAGCCTGAAGAACTTTCATTTTATCTATCTATGTATCTATCTCAACTATTTAATAGGACACTTCCTACATGAGTTAAAATCTTAACCCAAAACAGCTAAGGTCAGGGTCAAAGGATCCCAAAGCTGAGAGGTGCAGGCTACATTTATAAATGTATAGTCTTTATAGAGAGAAACACATTACCCAGAACCAGTTTTACCTAAGTGAGAGGCGAGCAGGAAGGTGGCATTCCCACTTGCCCTTTTCCCATCAGTTAGGAGAAATGATACCCTACATCAACACCACTTATCTCTAGGCTGGACAAAACGTGTGACACAAAATGGCCAAAGGCAGAGTTGGGTAAGACTGACAATTGTCCAGCCTCAAAACAGGCAAAAACCCTAGGCTTTTCTTTTCTTTTTTTTCTTTTTTTGTTTTTTTTTTGTTGTGGCAGCAGTAGCTCAGAACACTCCTGTAGAATGTATTTTGAAGATATTGTCTGCTTTCATTTACTCACAAAGTTAATCTGCTTCATACCACTTGTATTGGAGCACAAAAATAGAGCAGTCTATTTCACTTAAATATCTACCAGTTTTATTTCTATTTCTCATTTCAAGCTCCACACCAACCTCACCTACCACTTTCACCTACAGCCATGCAGGGCCACAGCAGAAAAAAGGTTCAAAGGGTTCAAACCCACCCATTTATTAAAACAAATACTAGGTATCTGTATAAATCCATTTGAAATATAACCTCCATGGAATTCTTACAAATTATTGACAGAAGTAACTGGACAGACAAGCACGAAGTTATCTCAAAGAAATCTCATAACAGCAGTTAGGATGTTCATCATTCATTGTCAAAACTTCTGATTCCCTCAGTTATGCTTTTGTTTATTCCACAAAAGATGGTTTGTATCTATTTCATATTCTTTTTTCTCCTCATAGCTCTCAGCCAGTTAATTATCCGTAGTCTGTATTCTTGCATTCATTTCATTGCTACATGAAGCCAAACACCACAGCAGTAGTACACAACATTTCATGGCACTGCGTCTTAGATGGCTTTGTATAGCATGAAAGTAAGTACATGTATTGGTTTTAGGTGCTCTGTGACCGGATGTCATGGTCTCATTTAGATATCATGAATGAAAAAAATAAATCTTGTATAGAATTTTACCTGTAAGCCATTGCATCCCTCACCCAGCTGCTGGACCTATTATGGTTGTAATCAGAAACCTCTAAAAGCTTTAAAAATTTCTACATTCAGCTAAAAAGTAAAAGAAGCTACAAACCCGCAGATAAACAGATACTTTAGTGGCTCCAAGCCCTGCTTTCCCACACTCCAGGTGATCAGCTTGTAGAAAACAATAATAGATAATCACTGCCGTTTTCCTGGGTTTGAATAGATTTCTCACTGGCATTGTGCCTTTCTCTTTTCCCTCAGGAGATCCTTCTCTTTACCCATGACCAAACTCCCTGTTTATGCAAGAGATATTTTTTTAATTAAAAAAACCCAAAAAACCAAACAACAAAATCTTAATCTAAACACTATCAAAAACCTCATGTTAGAACTCAAACTGCTCTAAATAGCAAGTGCAGAGCCTTCAGGATGGCAAGGGCTGAGGCCACACAGCCTGCTCAAGAAGGGTGCTAGGGGCTCTCTACCCCATTCCTGCCCTCCACAAACCCAGAGCAAAACCTTCTTCTCCTGTGGCCTTTTCCCTCATCCAGGAAGAAATGACAAAAAGAGGCAATGGTGGAAAAGTTTGGACAAACCATTACCATTACTTCCTCCTTTGACAATTAGGGGGCTACGAGAAAAAACCCCAATTGTAACAGCTGCACCCAATTCCTCTTTCCTCTCACTCACCAGCTGGGCTATTTCTAGGTGCTAGGGGAGCCTAAAAGAAGTATTTTATAGCAAAGACTAGGTTTACTCATTCTCAACTCACTTGCTTTCATTTTGGTTAGCTTGGCTTTTTGACTACAACTTAGTGATTCAGGTGGGATGCCCTTTTGAAATACGTGGACGAGGAAAAACCAGATTATATGTATTTGCTGTGGGAAGCCAGGAGAGGAAGCAGCCTGCACTGGTTGCTTCCCACAAGACCAGCATGAGCCAGGTGGACTCATTTCTCTTTCCCTAAATCTACAAGATTTCATGAGCATATGGTGCAATTCAGGGAGTTACAGGAGATTACAGCTCAGATCTGACCCACTGCTTACAGAACTGTCAGAATAGGGAATACTGAACTGGTGCTTTATTTCCCATATAGAAATAAATAAAGCACCCACTTCCTTAGGCCAGCCAGCCTCCTGCTTCCCACTGCACTCACCTACTGCCACTGCACCAGGACACAAACAAAATGCACTGGACAACCTAACTACCTCTGCAACTGCCCTTTTATTGCCCTGCTTCCTCCTGCGGGTGGGTGGGATGCCAGGAAACACAAGGCAGTTGTGATAGATCAGGAACATTAAGAAAGGGGCTGTGGAAACCCCTGAGAAAGAGGGAAGAAGGAAACACCTCTGTGCTTTTTACATTGCTTTCCAGGAGAGGGTGCTGGAAACTGGACTTGGCACTTCTTCATGGCTCCTGGTTTGAAGTCTGCTGCTCCTGGCACCTGGGTTATAAATCCAGGCTGGCTGCAGTCTTGGCCTGATCTCTTGTCCCCTTTAGGGAATAAGTTCACCACCTGAAGTTCAGAGCAATGTGCTGGGCTGTTCCACAGGTTTTCTGCAGCCCAGCTCCTGGTGGAGGGCTCCTTTGGTCCATCAGCAACATTTTCCAAGCCAGCAGCCCTACAAAATGCTGCCTTGTTTCAGACAATCCCCATCCACTTTTGAGTTTTCAATGTTAAAATATCAAAAAGTAAGAAACAATGTTAAACCCCCTAAAATACAAAGCATGAGTTCCAATAAATGGATCCACACAGCCAGCCTGAGTTTCAAATAAATACTTTACATTTTTTTCTTACAAAACTGAATATTATGGAATATATAAAATAAATAAATAAATATGTATTATAAATTGTCCCTTTTTATATCTATCTTGGAAAAAGTCACAGGAGGTTTCCTCAGAAGCTTGAGGTGCCATTTTAAGAGTTTCTCTCTTGCATATGTGGGTTGGGCAGCTTCTCAGGTGTTCAGTGGTGCATCAAGGCTAGGGGATGCTGCAGGAGCCCACCTGCCTGTAGCTCCGTACTGCCTGCACTTCTTGGCCTTGGTGCAGGCAGGAAGTACCTGGTGGAAGAGAAGTTGTTGTGTTTATTTCTTCAGAATATATCGATGTTTTAAGTGTGAGGGTAAAGATCCTGGATATTTGTATTGCCAAGTGAGACCTTGCATCTCTCTGTGAGGGGAGATTAAAGTTTTCCCCTTGCAATCCCACCAGCAGTCTTCAGCTTGGACCTAGAGGTATAGCACCCATGGAAGTGTATAACACACTTATAGCACACAGCTTGGACCTCTGTTGCATTTCCTCCACTGCTTCTTTTTTTCCAAAATTTTCGCCAAAATCCAGGGTGCACATGCTAGGTTATACTGCAAGGAGGATGAGGAGCCTCCACAAAATTGGGCTGTGATTTTCTGAAACGGCACCATGTCACTCAGTTTGCCCCCACCTCAAGCTTATATCCTGCACTACGATAGCCTTGGTGGACAACCAGCAGTGCCTCAGCCTTGGCACCTGTGGCAAGTGCCTGTGGCACCTTGGGCTTCCATCACAGAAGCATGGTTTTCCTCTAAGACCACATTTTGTTTGAGACCCATCCTCAGAGCTGCTGCCTTCATGAGTTGCACTGGGTGTGCTGAGGTTATTTTAGGAGCTGCAGAAGACTGGTGCAAGGGTCTGGCCACAGCTTACACAACTCTTTTGTGCATAAATAAAGTAGTAGAGTGATGCTTCCACTGCAACATGCCTTGTCATTGGCATAGCGAGTGTTTTCTAGCTGCCAGCGCTCTTGGGCACCTGTAGGTTGGCTGTGCAGAATCAGGTTTCCCCTTCCCAGCTCTCTAGCTGGGGGCTCATTCCTGTGTCCCTCTCCATTCCAGGTTCAGCCTGGCTTGGGCAGTGTGCAGGGAGCTCTGGTGTGGCTGGGAAGAGCCAGGTCAGGGTACTGAGCCCCAACACCTGTGGGGGTGTTTGTTGCAGCATCCTGAGGAAGGGCAGACCTACCCAGCATGGCCAGGTTGTGTTCCTGTCTGGGTCACATAAGTGCCTGAGGCAACGGTGCAGGAGGCAGGTGAGAAGGAGAAGGGAGGTCAGGGGGACCAGGACCCTCACTGCAATGGCAATGGTCAGTGCCATGCTGCTCTCTGGACCTGTGGGGAAAGCAGCAGGAACTCAGTTTGTGCATGAAGTAAAAAAACAACCCGAAACCCACTTCAAGCATCCCTTGGCCATTCCCTGGGGTGAAATGGGGTGGATAGGAGCACTGGGAGTACATTCCAGCATAATGCACACAAGTGGCACTGCCAGCAGACCTGTGCTTGGGGTCTGATGTTAAGGTCAGGCATGCAGAACACAGCCCCTCTGAGCTACCCAATGCTTGGTTTGTCACATTGTGTGACAAGGAACCCTGTCACAAACAGTCCTTCACAGAAACAGGGGCACACCATGGTGGGTAGGGGACCTGAGGAGCAGTAAGACATTACGTGCCATTGGCCAGGACATCTGGATGTTCCACGGCACCTTCTCCATCCCTCCCAAGTCCAGCCCCAGCTGCTCTTTCAGGTGCCTTCTCCACCTACTCCCAACCCTTTGAGGAGTTTTCTGATCTACCCCAGGAAGTGCTTCCCAATTTCTGCCCCGCTCCAGAGCAGGAGCAGAGTTATATACTGACCCTGCTCCAGGCTGTCTGTGGGCAGGACCAGGGTCACATTTAGAGAAGGGTGTTGGATCATGCAGGTGATGGGGTACTCCTGAAGGACTTTGGAGTGTGTGTGGGTAAAATTGCTGATGACAGTCACGGTCTGGTTGCTGAACTTTATGTGGTACTCCCTTGGTTTCTGCTGCAGGATGCTGGGAAGGTGCCAGGTTATTTTTGGAGCTGGTTTCCCTGTTGCTGAGCAGCTCATCCCCACCATTTTCTCAGAGTTCTCAGCTTTGTCTGGACTGGGTATAAGTTTAGTTTCCACTTTGGGGTCCGAGATGGCTGTAAACAACAAAGTGACAAAGTCCATTGGTTTCTGCCTATGTTTGAGCAATGATCATCTGTATTTACAGTTATCTTGAAGGAAAAGCTTGCTATCTAAACTTAACTCCCCCTTCCCAAAGCCTCAGCAGTGACAAATAAACATGAAAATGATCAGACTGCAGTATGGAAGTGAAGAGCCAGAAAAAAAGAAGGACAAGAGGGTAGAAGCATCTGTTTCAGTTCTGTTACTAGCAGCAGCATCCCAACTGAGAAGTCGTGATTATGGCTGAGTTAAAAGCAGAAGGTAGTGAAACTGTGAAGCCATATGCCCTTTTCTCTCGGAAAGAGCTGAACTGCTTAAATGAGTTAGAATTACTTTCCTTTAAAATTACCTGCAGGATTTGCTTTAGTGCTGTTTGAGCTATGTAGAGCTGCAAATCAAAGGACTAAATGCATCTATTTATGCAAGACAATAACAGTGAATTTGTATGTGGTTACACGGTGGGATTTCACCTGTGGAGGGTTTGTGCTTGTATAACTTTGTTTCCTGTTGTGAATGGGTTTTGGGTGCAGCATAGCATCCCTCAAAACTATAATGAAAGATCACTTCTGAACACTCTCACTCCAGATTTGCAGACGCTGTCGCATTTAATTTTAGTCTGGAAGAAGGATGATCTACAAGCATCATTCATGCTTACTCACTCACTCACATTAAGCCTACTTGTTGATTCCTATTTATACAAAATGTATTTGTATAGATGAAGGGGAGAAGTTCAGGAAGTTGGTTTCAACCTGGATAGAACTCCAGGTGAGATCTGAACACATAAGGCATGTGCCATGTGAAAAATCACCTGTTTATCCTTTGGTGTAAAATCATACTATAATTAAGGTCAGAAGGGACTTCAGGATATGGTCTAGTTCAAGCCTCTGCTCAGTTTGATAAGGTCAGTTTGCACTGGCCAATACCTATAACGGTGTGTAGTTCCATTTGGGAGTACAATCCATGGGTTTCTGTGTAGCAGCTCACTAGCCTGCCTTCTACTTCAGTGCATGTGCTGATGGAATAGGGGTCTAAAGTACACTCTACTTCCGGGTCTCTGTTTCTGAGAATATTGCTTTTTAAAAGCATTTAAGTGCAGTGGCAATTCTAGTTTCAATCAAGTCTGAGTTACCATGAATGTCCTCTGATTAAAAAAGTATCCACTGCTGTAATTAGTAGAACTCCATATGTATATTACTACTTAGATTACATAGGAAAAATAACAGTGGTAAGTGCAATACTTATGCTGAAATTAATTTTTGTCCCAACACTAGAACATACCACTACCATTTAGCAATCCTACTTTTAAACAAGCAAACAAAACTTCTTTTCATTCTTGTTAGGAAAAACAATGATTTTTCCTTTTGTGAAGTAAACAGAGATTTGCCTGTGAAGTGTAGCAGACACTGCAACAAGGGGAATAAGCGTGTGCCAGATGCATAATGGCACCTATAACCTCCTGGTACAATTCCAGATGCACCTCAAAAGTTTGTCTGTGATAACTGCCAGAGGGTGGAAGCAAGACTTTGCATACCAACAATTTTGCTGCTTTTTGTTTGTTTGATTTTTTTACAAGCCAGACCTCATTTACCTACTATGATTGCATGAGTCTAGAAAAAATAAACTCATATTTATCACTTTTTGCATCAACCATAGACAAAAAGTTAACCCCCACAGAGCTGCTGAAACCTCTGAGAAAAACAAGGAAAATGTGTAGGGGGATTTCAGTTGGAACTTCTCAAAATCTCCCAGGTGTGAAAAGACTAGTGTCACAAACAATTTATGTTTTGATTAATAAATGGCCTCTGAACTTCTTCTTTCACTCATGAGATGCATAAATATAGCATATCCACCCATAGCATTAACTTCAAATATTGGGTTGCAAAGTTAAAAAGCAATCAAAGGGAGAAGTCACAGATGTTACCATAAAGCATGAGAAAAATTTCTCAGTGTCTTGCCAGGATCACATACACCCTGCATGTGCTGTTCTTCTGACTAAGCAGTTCTCTCTCTTCTCACAATGGACCCCAAGGAATGATCCTCTAGGGCTGAGCTGTAGTAGATGCACTGAGAAAACCTGTAAGTGCTTGCTTTTGCAGTGAAGTCCTGCTGCACTGTTTGCTGGTATGTTCTGGCTGTTCATGTTTGATGCATACACTTAACTACTTCTTTTGCCTTTCATCAAAATATTTGTTTCCAGTGAAAAAGTCTTTGCCTGTGATGTGGTGCGCCAGCACTTGTTTTAGTCTGTCTTGTAGATCAGCATTGCGGATGTTCCCAAATTTGAGCTCTGTCAGCATTCCCAAATAAAGGGACCTTCTGTAATGGCTTTCTGTAATTAGAGGGGTACCATCAGGCCATTATATGCTTTTTATATTTAAAGGCTTAGCAGTGGTGATACAGAGAACGATAAAAGATTGTAGGAATCAAAGTATGCCTCATGATTACAGAAAGTTTTTCCCAACCATATGGGTGTTCACCAGCAGTACTGTACCTTCTTTCCTTGTCTAAGAAACTGCAATGGCATTTTTCCAGCTGGGCTCAAGACTTGCAGGCAAAAGGAGCCATCTACAAAGGCAAAGGGAGGCAATCTCCAAGGACAGCATAGCAAATGTCCAGGGAATTTTGTGACTCAGCAAGACTTGCCCATCCACATGTGGTACATTCCCCTACCTCCATACCTTGCCCTCAGTCCTCAGTCTGGATTTCATTCTTGTCCTCTTTGACAATGAAGACTGGCAAAATATTTCTAAAGTAAAATGAAGGGGGAAAGGCAGCAGACTGTTCAAAAGAGACCCATCCAGCTTACTTGAAACTTTTCTGTTCCAAAATGGGTTTTGCTACAGGGTAGGACATTTCATCTTCTTCCTGGGTTTGCTGTTTTCAGCCAGGCAGGTCTGACATCACTCCAGTCATACCTGTTTCTTTTTTCACACTGTTGTATCCAGTTCTTACCTGGTTTCACTTCCCCTCAACACTCATTCCCCTCATCACATGGCAGTGGTGCCTGTCCTGTCCTAGAAAAGCCAGGCTGTGATCGGGCAATCACCAGCTCATAAACTCCCTGGCAGTCCCCTCTTGAGGGCAAAGACATGGCAGTGTTTCATTTTCAACTGGTGACTCCAATTTGCTCACCTTGCCCTGAACCTCTGAGTCTTGGGAGATTCCTGCTGGCTTCACTCTCCCTCGTGGGGCAGCCTCTGGGCTTGTTCAGACAAGTTGTTCCCATCGTTAGGAGTTGGGGAAGAACGACCAAGACTGTGGCTTTTAAGTAGCATCATATAAATCAGCTTCAATGAAATATCCATATATGAACTGAAACCTTCTGTCAGAGTGCCAGATGTTCATGGTGACCCTCCAGGGCTGATTTGATACAGCACATTACGGGAAGGCCACCACGACCTTGATGAGGCAGCCTCTGGCAGTGGCCTATGAGCCTAGGAGAGAAGTTAAACCCTTCTCAGTTGATTCATTTTCGTCTGAGATGCAGGAAGAGATTCTTGCCTCAGTGTGTGTGGCAGCAGAAAAACATCCCAATTGTTTGGGTTTTTTTTAGAAGGATGGTGAATGATGAACCATAGCCAAATGGCTGGTGAGTTTGGGAAGGAATTCCCCTACTTGGATAGAAAAAAAAAAGAAACCAAAACCAAAACCCAAAAGAAATCTCTTTGTTTAGGCTTACATGATTAAAAAGAATGGGGTACCTCTGCAAGGCACTTCCCTGTTTTTCCTGTAACATATAATCAGTGTTTACCCTCTGAATGATTCAGAACTGGATTTCTTTAGGAACTTTCCTCTTCATGTATGAAATGCTGCATGAATTTCTCCTCATTTCTCTTTTCTCCCCTAGTTTTCCCAAAAGAAGGGGAAAAGAACTTTTGTTCCAGACTTGGTTTTCCCTTGCATTTCCCACCACCATCTCCTTTCCCCTATAAGTTTGGAGCTTCCTTTCTCCACCCTGAGAGCTACAGAGACGTGTGTGGACATATGTGTCTTTGTCAGCAGAAGGTGCTAGGGATAAACAAAATACTCTGCAGGGGTCATACCACCAGTGACAGGGCACAAACACTGATACTCTCCACATGGGATATGATCTTTGGCCAGTTTTCCCACAGCAATCTCATTTCCTGAGAAAGCCAGGAGCCAATAGGGTGTCCTCAGAGCATGTTTAATGTCTCAGCTTTCTCAGCTGGACAAAACCCAGCAGCTTTCCTCAAGAGATAAGCAGCTTGTTACTCTTAGTTGAGTTCATATATTTATCTGTATTTCAGGTTGCACATGCTAGTTGATGGTTTCATGTAGAGGTGACAAATATTGCCATCTTGATTTATGATTTGTTTTAACTCTCTTCTTGAAGCTAGTTGATGCTGAACCTGCCCAAAGTATTCATGTGTCAAATCCTCAAATCCCATGAGCTTTACAGTATTTCACCCTTTTTTTTTTTTTCTTTTTTTCTTTCCTGGCATCCTTTTCTTGACCCCAGCCCAACTACTGTTATTTTTAGTTTTGTTTTAGCAATGAGCTTCCAGCTATTCTGGTCACACGCGTGCCTCTTTGCCTTTTGAATACTTTGCAATATTTTTGCTATCAAATGAAGAATAAGTTAAAAATTGCCTGATTTCCAGGATTAAGAGGTGAGATCAGCAGTGAAAGGAAGCAGAGGAGCACAGGGTTCATGGCTGTGGCCATGCAGCTGTCAGCACATCACAGGGCCAGGGAAACTTGGAGGAAGTCATGGGTTCTGCATCAGTTTTGAATCTCGCTGTTGCTGACTTGAAAGGGAAGAAAATTAAAGAACTGTTTAACCCTGGTTTCCCATCAGAGGTAAAGCCAGAAAGGGAAAGAGCTGGGGAGAACCATTTTTCCCACGTAAATGTAGCAATGTTAGGGAAGGTTTTTCACAGGAAAGATGACTTGGTCCTCAGGTGAGTGCCCGTACACAATGACAGTGCCTTACCATAAACCTGGAGACACATCCTGCCGGTGACAGTTCCCGAGGGAAAGGTGTTGAAGATGCATTTGTAGCATCCTTCATCGTGGAGGGTGACTCCATGGAGGGAGATGGCCGAGGCTTGTAACTCGCTGTGGGCAAAGCTCACATGGCTGATGTAGGCCTTGGTTATCCTTTGGCCATTCATTGTACTGTAAGTTGCTATGTTGTCTTCAGCCCCATCTGTCTCCTTCTGCCAGGTCACCTGTATCACATCTTCTTTTCTGACTGACCGGCAGGAAAAAGTAACATTTCCTCCTGCTTGGACTGCCTGGACCTTTCTGTTCATCACCTGCACGGAGGCTGGGGGAGAAGCAGGGGCCACACTCAGCATTTCTCACACTCTTCTGCTGCCCGACCCCTGCAAAGCCCTCCCCCTCATTTCCAAGCAGAACAACTCTGGAGGATTTCTCCATTCCTCCATCCAGGGAAAAACTGAAAATGCAGCTTGAAAGAGCTACCCAGAGAGTTTCACTGGAGCTGCCACCTCTCATACCAAGCATCTCACCAGCCTGATCCCTGTGCTGCAGAGAGCACCACTGAGAAAGGCAGCTCTGGTGTTGGGAGCCACTGACTTGTCTGCTAGGACTGCTATTCCATGGGCACCCACTGAGACATTCCCTGCGCTTTTAGCCATGCTGTCGACCAAACAGCTGTTGGCCCAATACCACCCCCTTAGCCCTCCTTTGGTATGGGGTGAAGCAAATCAGTAAAACTGCTAAAAAATTATTATGTGTCTCACTATACATCATGCATTCATACTTGTCAGAGACTGGCAAAGATCAGAAAATCAGGAGAAAAAGGCAAGGTAGGGAAGACCTGAGGCAAACTACATCTGTCCCCAGCATCAAAGTCATGCTGCTGAGAAACCCTACTGCTGCAGAAGAGACCCTACTGAAGGCCCACAGGCACAAAACTTTCACAGCATAAATGCTGTGAAATACCATAAATGGTATTAAAAGAATCCAGGGAAAAGAAGAAAACACAATCAGTCTCCTCTTCCAATTCGTAGATATGAAAACATTGTTAAGGGTACAGGCAAGGTGAAGCTGACAGCTCAGCTCCACAGTTCTCTTGGCATAATAGTTTTCAAAGTTCATTTGTGCATGTCAGCATGGGAAGGAAGATATCAGCAGTAACAGCTGCAGCACTGAAAACATAATTCAATTTACAAGAAAGGGAAATATCTTTGCAGAGAAGGGTGAGGCTGTCTGCAGTGCCCAGAGGTACATTAGGCTAACCCACTCTACAGAGTGCTCTGAGATTCTGGCTGTGACCATGGCCAGGTGGATTTCCAAAGACCAAGAAACCAGTTGTCAAACTGTGCCAGTCACTTTGCTTTCCAGACCTTAGGAGTACCATAGGCAGCCTATCAAACATGATCATAGAAACTAGTTTGAAACTAATTCAGCCTTTTCTACGAGAATTTTAAATACAATACCAGTGTAATACATCCATGCTATTGATGGCCAGAGCATATACCTACAAGCACAGTTTAGCTGCTTTATAATTTGCCCATTGCAATAAATTTATACATCTCTCTGGAATTTATAAATGCATTGGTGCTAAACTGAGAAGTGGATGCTGTCAATGTAACCAGCAGTGACATGCCTGAGCCTCAGGTAAGTAGTGCAGTGCCACAAGTGCCGTGTCACCACTGGGCTTGCCCCAGGAGGGTGCAAGGTGGGGACTGCAGCACCCAGCAGCACAGAAGGAGGCTGGCATGGCCACTGAGGTCCCTAATGCTGATGGGATAATGACACAGACACCCAGACAGATAAAGGAGTTACCTGAAGCGGCAATCCAGATGCTGGAGAGGAGCAGGCAAGTGACCATCATCATCAACTTTAGCTGTGTGCTCAGTGAGACGAGCAAGTGATCCACTGAGCGCCACTTCCCCTTTCTTATACACTTATACTCTAACTCTAGGGACATTCCCACCATGCAGCTACAGTAAATAGCACCTCGTAAAAATATCCTGCCTGTATGACACAACTGAATTTTAGGGGATATGACAGCAAATACAGAGCCAGAAACTTAGGTTTTCCCAGTTGTGGCGCTAAGAGACAAAGGTACTGAGATTTGCACTTTGTCCTTAAGGTTGGGTTTTCATAAGCACCTAAATACAAGCACAGATTTCGAAACTGGCTCAGCACCAGTGTCTGTGAGCTGCAGGAGGAAAGGCCACCCTGGCCTCAACCTGAGCTCCAGGAAAGGCCATGCTACAATGAGTGGTGCAAATGTCCCTAACTCAGAGGACACAGTTGGGGGTCTGCACACATCATGTAAGTCAGTGAAAACCCAGGAGCTGCTGATGCTTCTGTAACACAACTCTTTTCCTAGGTTAAGGAGACCAAAACAAGCCAAGAAACAGATTCAGGCCCTAGGTCATGTGTTCCCTCAGGGAAAGAGCAGACCCTTGGCCTCAACTCTCCTCCATTGAGGTTGCCCCCATCTCCACAGGTCCATGATCCTTTCTGAGCCCTGTTCCTTAGGAAGACATGGTTGCACTTACACAAGCACACCCTTCTTCCTCTACCATTACCTTAGATGCCATAAAAATAGGTAACAGAACTTGTCTGAGTCATTGTTTTTGTGCTTTTTTGCTTTGTCATTGTTCTGGCTGTGTTCCCCTTTCTGTGTAGCTTGTGATCACTGCTGAAACCAGCCAAGCCCTCAGCCCACAGGTGGCTCTCCTATGGCACAGTGGGGCAACGAGACTGAGAGACCTCATTTGCTAATCCAATTTCTACTGGTAAATTGCATTTCATGTTTCTGATTTTTGAGGAGGTGGCTTACATTCTTGCAAATTCTTACTACTCCAAATGACTGTAAGAGTAAATAAAACGTTTTCTCTCTGTCGAATGGCTGCACAGATTTGCATCGAATTATGCAAATCAGTTGCAAGACATAAAGTGACACAAAAAAATTCTCAAACATGCTTTCACATTTATGATTCCTTCACTCCTTAGTGACAACTAATCTGAAAACAGAAAAAGCTCAAGTATCAGTATTCCTCTAAAGAAACATTTCGGGTGTGCTTTTGAGTAGGTTCAAGAATTCATTCCCATAAGTCTGAAAAATGCAGTTGCTTCATATTATTGTCTTTTTCTTTTGAGATATCTTATTTTCCTTTCCTTGAGTTATTTGCATAGTTGCACCTTCCTGCAAAATTTCTGGAAAGTCATTCTGGCCTGATCAAAATGTGAGATCACCACTTAGCAATCACAAAAGGAGCTTCACTTGATTTTAAAAAGAATTGCAAGCCCAATTGATATGTAGGAAATATTCTTGTCAGCTTTAACTAGCTTATTTTCTCCTAGAAACACTCTGATCTTCCAGAACTCTTAAAAACTGTGTGCTGCTAGAGGAAACACTTTTCAATGAAGAACAAACTTTCAGTCTTAGCAAAGGACAGAGATGGCTCTGCTGGTGGGAAAAAATTGTTAGCTTTATTTTTTTACAGCATCCCTGGTGAGAAAGAGCTGTGTGTGCTGGTTGTTCTTTCCCAGCTCTGCCTTTCCTCTGATAGCTCCTGGTGCCACAGGGAACGTGAGCCTGCAAGGACCTCTCTAACAGCCTTCATGAGTCGCTCTTTGCATGCACATCCAACTGCTGCAGCATCTCTCTCAGACCACTCCCCTTCCTCCAGGGACCAGACAACATCAGCAGTTGATCAATTGCTTTAAGCACAACATCTTACTCATAATGTGAGATCCATTAACCCAACCGCTTATTTGAAATTTGAAGCTCATTTGAAGCTCAGCTTGCCTGAGCTTCAGTCACACTCCAAAGACAGCAAAAGCTTGGGGATAAATTTGGCAGAAGTAGTTCCACAACTACTGCTTGAAAAGCACAGTGATTTGTATGATTTTCTTCTTTTTTGCTTCACCAGGATGTTCTCTTTAGTTCTGAGTAAATTTTAAAAAGGGACATACAAGAATTGCACAGTCATGAAATGCCAGCATTTCCCCACAGACCAAGTGACTAATGCAGTCAATAATTAATATAGTTGAACTTCCAGAAAACCTTGCTAAAGGAAGTCATGCAGGCACAATTACAGTCTAAAACATTGGTTTGTCAATCACCAGGCTAAACCACTGTTTTTTCAGCCATCCAAGCCCAGGTTAACAACTGGACATCTGCCTACCTTGTCAGAAGGGTTCAGTGCCACCTCTCAAGACATTGCCTGAAAAGAGAACAAAGCAGGTGGAGAGGGTTTCATCCACTTCTGAATTGCAGTGACTTTTTGGAGGTTGGTTCCTCAGCTCTAGCTGTAGGTAGAACTGTTGGGAAGCAGCTTGAATACAATTGAACAAATCTGGAACTTTATAATCTGTTTAAGTAGTGCCCGCATATGGCAAATCACTTTTCATCTCAGTTGAGTTTGGAGAGCTGCAGTACACTGAGGCAAGGACAGCAGCCTTACCAACATCTGCTCCAGCCTCCGGCACTGCATCAGGGCAGGCTGTGACAGCTCAAAGCCAAGGGATGCTGCAGGACCAGGTGGTGCTCATTTGGGCAGGGTTACAGACAAATTGTTGGGTTTGCACGCAGGTTTCAGATCAGAGCACACAAGGGTAAGTTTGGATGCAGACACAGCTGTTTGTCCTTGTCATGTTTGAATTGGAGGTATGTGATCTGTGATCTCTCCCCAAACTGGACTCCCTCTCTCTGCTAACACCCTGCTGTCAGCTGCAACTTACAGCTTCTATTGCTGCAGTCTGGACTGTCTAGCAAAGTGCAAAACAGAATAAAAGTAGAGGGCTGCTCAGTGGAGACCTAGCTCATGGTGCTGTACCTCTATCTACAAAACCACACGTTCCCAGGGGACAGCATGTGTTCTTAGAGTGTCCTGTTAACTGCCTGACACTTCTTACCTCTGAGGTTTGATGAAATGGCTGCAGACACCTCAAGTCTTACAGATTTTTTTTCTATTTTCTGGCAAAGTACTGCAATTACAATGTGTCAACTAAAACTTGCTTCCTCCCCAGCCAACAAGCCCTGCAAATCATATTTGTGGTTCTTGTATTTTTCTTCTTCCTTGTAGCTCAGGAGAAAGAAAAAGGAATAAAAGTATAATAATTTTTTAAAAGGACAAAAAGGAAACAAAGAAACACAAAAAGACTGTGCTGGAAAGCTTCAGTAGCAGAGGCTGTGCTTCATTGTGGTTTGAAGTGTTTGGTTTTCACCATTTAGTTTGTCACAGCATTTCTCAGAAGAGTAAGATGGCCAGGCAAGTGGTTTCCTCTTGCCAAAAGCACTCTAAGTTGCTGTTTCAGACTACAGAACCTACAGTGAGTCCATTCTGCAACACATTAGTCATTTGGTGGAGGTTACCAGCCCGTCCCAGCACCTCAGGAAGCTACACAACACATCCATCTCACCCCTCTTCCTCTCCCACCCCCTCTTGTTAATATTGGCATGCAGTGGAGGCTTTGGGGTGGTTTTTTGGTTTTTTTTAGGTGCGCAACATCAGAGTGCTGCATACACTTACAGTGAGATAACAAACTGCTTTGGTCACTGAGTTTCATCCTGTAAAACAGCCGGTACAGAAAACAATTCAGCCAGCGAGGAAACCACACCAAAACTGGCTACCAAAGGGTGCAGAGATCCAGTGGAAGGATGGGAAACTGCTTACCAAAAATAAGGTAGGTCCAATACCATTTTATATTTAGTTACTAAACAATAGGACTAAGAGAGTGATGCTGAAACAAGTGACACTTGCAAACAGCCAGCCTCAAGGGATCATGCAAGGCTCCATGAGGAGCTTCTTGGTTAGCAAAACATAATTCAGAAAGCAAATTAAGATGAACAATATAGTTCTTGGTATGTCAAAGAGTGTTGCCTCAGGATGATATTCACAGAGGTGACATAGTCTGTAAGGTCCCAGCACAGAGAGACTGCTGAAGGGAGGAAGGGAATCCACCCTGGTGAGGAACAAAAGGAACAGAGAATACCTTTCATCTGCTCCAAGTTTCCGGGCAGGAAAACTACGCTTAGAGAAAATTCACCTTGCTATCTTTTGGTTGGTGTCAGGTCTCATAAAGATAAGCTTTTATATACACTGTATAGACATAGACTAAATTGTACAATGTATTTCAATGCTGTACATGACACGTGTAAGTATCCTATACCTATGTACAACAGTGGTTAGGAATAGATTCTCTCCTAAGGAGCTATTAAGACAGAGGAGGATGCTCAACAGGAACCACCTAGGACAGATGGAAAGTTCCCTTTCTTTTCCCTTGTCTTCTTGATAGGTCAAAGAAATGTCATGCAGCCTCTGAGTACTCTACCCTGATTGCATACTTGGTCTTAAGGAGCTCAGATGAGGCACTTCATTGCCACAATTCAACACTCCTCTTGTTTGCAAAGAAAATGCATCTCTCATGTGTCTTTGCAGGTCTGTGGTCAGATGTATAAGTTGTGACCACATTACCTGGCCTTGAGGAAAAGGGCAGAGATTCCCAAAGCATGAAGCTTTGCTCTCAGAAGCAGTTTGAGCCAAGGCAAACAAAATCCTTGTGAAACCTCACCTGTGGCGGCAAGGAGCAGTGATGAGCTCGTGTGCCTTAAGGGTCTCAGGTCCAGGCTCTCTGCTCCCAGGCTTGCTGAATCCTCCACTGCTTTAAGTGCTTGTCACCCTTACATGTGGGACTTGTGTTGCTTTTGAAATAATTCCTGATTGCTTTTTAGGAGAGGCAATAAGAACAGAATTCTTCATAAGAACCTTGCAAGCAAGGTTTTTGAGAGGCAGATTTTTTCTGCTAGCTTGATGGGGACATGAAACCCATATTCCCTATCAGAGGGGAGGGACCACTGCCATAAAAGACATC